GTCTAACCTCTCCTGGTTTGTTAGAGATCTAGCTGATATTTACCTCTGGAAGAATTTACTTAATTTAGATTGAGAAATAGGCCTTAACCTGTACCCTGTGAACATGTAAGTGGGGTCTCACAGTGCATGGAGCCTTTAGCTAAGTTTTCTGGGATGACAGGAAAAAGGGACTTCCTGTTGGGAGACCCAGGGACATGTCTGAGGAACTGCTGGGTGAGACTGCAAACCTAGGCTCCTCCGCTGCCTCTCTGGTAGTCCTCACCTGGGGATTCATTGTCTTCTAGGAGTTCTTTCTGGCTCGTGGGAGTTTGAGGAAGCAGGAAGTAAGGTGCTAGGTGTGGGGCAGAAGAAACCACCGGTGGGGGAGGGAGATTTATCACTTAAAGCAAAAATTGTGGCTGTGAAGAAATGTGGGGCCGGAGCGTGGATACATTCCCTTCCAAACTGGGCTCGGGCAGGGGTGGGAGCAAGAGCATCTGCCTGGGAGGTGTGGACCTTCACAGTAACACTTCTTTAGAGTGTGTGCAACTCAGTGATTCTCACAGCCGAGAATCGTGCTTAGGATCCACACTGCGTTGCCAGAAATGGCAGGGTCCCCCCACCCCTCCCGCCTCTGTGTTGCAGGTTCGGTGTTTATGAGAGCCTCAACTTTGTAAAGGGCCAGAGGGAGACTCAGCAGTGGATGGAGAGAGAGTTTGTCGGGATACTGCAGGCCTGTTTTGTAGCCTCTCCTTGCTTCTGTGGAACTGTAGCTGATTTCTGGCTCACTGGAGGGGCTGGAGAGCCGGTGCTGCAGGAGCAGGGGAGCATATGGATGGCTTCAGGCACAAAGTAATAGGCAGTAGCTTCCTGGGGATTCAGAACTCTCCTTAGAGCAGGGAGTGGTGGCAAACTTTCCTAATTTGCTTTTCTGCTGCTGTGGTAAAACATTCTAACCACAGCAACTAGAGGAAAGAATTCATTTCAGCTTAAATTTCCAGGTCACGCTCCATCATCGAGGGAAGTCGGTGCAGGAATGCAAGAATTTAAAGGAACAGTACCTGCTAGCTCACCGCTCAGCTGCGTAGCCTCAGACTGCGCCTAGGGAAGGTATTGTCCACAGTGTGCTGGGCCCTCCTCTATCAGTCTTATTTAAGCAGTTCTCCAGCTGAGGCTCCGTCTTTCAGGTGACACTAGGTTGTGTCAGATTGCCAATAAAAATCAAGATGTGCACCGCTCACTTAAGGTGATTTTCGTGACTCTGCTTTTTTGTGGTTTCTGTCTGTCTGGAGCCAGGCATGGAGGGGAGGGTCATGTTTGCATCTTATTGTAGAAACCTGTGGAGGTGATCAGAGAGAACACCGTGGTCAAGGTGTATATGATAAAATGGGGGAACGTAGTTACCTGGGAAAAGTATTTTTAGAATCTCAACAGGGGCACACAGCTATGATCCCAGTTCTCTGGAGGCAAAGGCAGGAGGATAGAGCATTTGAGGCCAGCCTGAGCTACTTAGTGCTGAGATTCTGCCTCGTCAAACAGAGCACAAGATTTTGTGAAGGGTGGTTTGCATTTGACCCGACAGAATAAATATGGGAATGGGTGTGGTCTTCCTCGAGCCCTCCTCCCTTTCTCCCTTCTTCCCCTCTTCCCCAGCGTTTTTTTTTTTCCCTTAATTATGCAAACTTGAGCTCCTTCTGTAACTGAAAAGCAAAAAGTGCTGTCTTAGCAGGAATGCTTGAGCCAGCCTGTAGTGAAGTCTAGCATGCTTTCAGCCAGATCTGAAGAATGCATGCGCCTTTCCTGTCGTCAGCTCTGCTCAGTTTACTAAGTCCTCTGCATAGCTGAGCTCATCTGGCTGTCGATCAGTGGAGCTGCTCTCAGGCCCCGGTTCACGGTGCGCTGGGGTAAGGAAGGGGTGTGGATCGGGCCCAAGTTTTGGCACTGGGACTGCCTCCTAGCTCTGAGCCCTTTGGCATAGTGGTTAACAGGGCCAAGCCTCTGTGTGTGAAATAGCACATTTAATGGCAGATTCCTTGGCCCCCAAATTGTTGGTCACCTAGTTAAGGGATTCTAGAACCTGAACTTTGCCTGGATTATTCAAGTATCTGAGTTTATACCTCACATCTTACATAGAACACAAAGAGGAGTCTTTTGTAAGTCAGTCAGTGGGGTTGGCCTCTCAGGTTATGGTGACCTAGAAACAAGACTCTGAACAGTTAACATGGATTTTGGTTGTTCTGACCCCAAGCATTAGTTCAGTAGAGCATTAGTTAGGTTTTCAGTACTCTGGTTTCAACAGTTCTGGTGGTTACAGACTATTTTAATGCAACAGAAAACCATAACCTTTGTTCCCCCCCCCCAATTTTTTGTATAGTTTTATGAAACCATTTCGATGTCAATTGTAGTCATGAAACTCTAAATATTGTAGCATCTATTGCTGAAAAGCAGAGGTTTTCATAAACTACATCGTGAAACTATCACTAAGTGCCGTTAAAATTATTTCCATTTAAATCCTTCTTGATAGTCCCTGAAGCATTGTTATAACTACGGTTTGAAGCCAGAATCCAGGCTAGATTTATCTTTTGTGCTTGCTTGCTTTTTTAGTTTTATTGCCGTGTGTGTGTGTGTGTGTGTGTGTGTGTGTGTGCGCGCGCGCACAGCTTGCAGGAATGGGCTCTTCCCTTTTATCTTGTGGATGCCTTTCCCTCCACGCCGTCTCGCTATCTCTACCTTGGTCTTTTTAAAAGACCGTTTGGTCTGTGGATGCCCCAATTCTGGATTTGTCTGATTGTTTCCCATGATGTGGTTTAACTTGGTGCTAGTAGCGCCTTCTCTGTGATAACTTAGTGCAGTGTTTTTCAAAATTGCCTGTTTTCCAGAAACTGGAAGTTAAATCTAAAGGCTTGATTACGGTCACTCAAGTCAAATATTTTTGGCAAGAAAGCATCATAGATTATAGTGTTTGTTTTCACTTAACTTTATCTCTCTCTCTCTCTCTCTCTCTCTCTCTCTCTCTCGTGTGTGTGTGTGTGTGTGTGTGTGTGTGTTATTTTGCCTGTAATTTTGTCGGCATACCATATGTCTGGAGAGGCAGGTTGTCACATTCCCTAGAACTGGAGCCACACACAGTTGCGGGCTGCCGTATGGGTGCTAGGAATATTGAAGCTGGGACCTTCGAAGAGCAGCAAGGTTTTCTTTCTTTCTTTCTTTCTTTCTTTCTTTCTTTCTTTCTTTCTTT